ACGTGCACTCGCCAGACAGAAAGAGAGAGACAGAGAGAGAGAAAGCAAGAAATCATCCCCCAGGGAGGATGGCCATGCTGCAATCCCTTCTCCTCCATTCTCCTCTCGGGATCTTGGGCACGCACGCACACGTGCCCGGCGTGAGTTTTAAGCCACTGGGTCCGGGACGAGAACCACAGTCGACTACATGGGAGTCCAGTGACATAGCCATTACACTAACTGCTGGTCCCCTTAAACCTTTACTGATATTACTCTTTCGACACAGAATTTTACAAATCTCAGCTCAAGTACAGAATGTGATGGATTTGATTTGGGGCGTGGCCTTAAAAGTTAGAAATATTCTGTAATCTCTGAGGCCCTTCATCATTCCTTTATATACTACAAGATATTGGAGCTCTACAGTAGAAATGATAAGTCTAACTGGGTTTATGAGGAAATACATAGGAGCCAGGAGGTGGAATGTTGGTTAAGACGCTGGATTCCCACATAGAAGACTGAGGTTCGAGTTCTGGACCTGGAGTCTTGAAAATCATGCCACACGTGTGTGGATGTGTGTCAAAACACAGGAGAAGGAAGAAAGGATTATGGTATGGCCATTCCTCTGACAGTTGATTTCTCACTTTCTCTCTCTCTCTCCTCTCTTTTTCTCCAGGAAGCTCACTCATTCTCTGGCTCAAAACTAAAAATAAATGAAAGAAAGAAAGATAGAATCATATAATATCACTAACCTAAATTTTAGGTGATGTTCATTTTAACCCTATGATTTTTCACCTATTTTTAAATTGTCTATCATGGATTATTTTAAATGGAATATTACGATACTAAATAAATATAAAAACTTCTCGACCATTTGTACTTATAATTAGAAAAAAAATACTCATTGCTGTAACTACTGACTTACAGTTTAAATCATTTGTTTTCTCATCCTGGACCCATGATCTATACTTGCTGTTTCATGAGGTGCTTAATTAAATGATGCATGATTTTCAACCATGTCAGATAAAAATTTTTAAATTCTTTTAATTTAAGATGTGTGGAGTCTTTCAGAAATGGTTCATTCTGAAGTCTGACAAAAATTCTTAAGAACATTTTTACTATTGGCTTTTGGGAGAGGAGGAACTTTTTGGTCTCCCCTACAGTGAGTGGTTCTTTCAAAATCAGACACTTTTTCCTGTCATGATGTAAAATGTGTGTGTGTAAACTCATGTGTGTTAGTGCTGGTGTATGTGTGTACGTGTGTCTACAAGTGCATGCTTTACTATGAACTGCTTAGCTGAGAGGTAGGTAAGCCATTTCAAGATCTTTCTTATCCCTCTTTAACCTTTTAAATTTTTCCCTCATTGAAAATTCTTCAAGAGAATCACAAAATCCACCTAGAGACTAAATTTAATGAACTGATATTTTGTCAACACTGTTCATCACTTACTTGACATCGCTGGTGACAAACTTAGAGTCTGATTATTTCTGGTCAGGGATTTAAAAGTGCACATAAAAAGAAATCAGAATTACCATAAACGTTCCAAAGTTCTCCAGAGTTTCATTAGACTGGTCGAGAAAACACTGTTTGAATTCACCTACAGCCTTGCTCGTGGCATCATCCGGTATGTACTCTTCAAGCGAGTTTTTGTATTGGTCAACAGATACGCTTGGATCTATGGTCTCGCTAATCACACCTTCAAAGTATGCGCAGCCAGAACCTGGGAAGAAAGCATGAGAAAACCGGTTCATTGCCAGAAGTAGGAACTCTCTGGGCATCCTTATGATCTTCTCCATCTTCTAACATCCCAGTGGAGACATAGATTGAGACCGGTTGCTGTGTTTGTTCTTGAGTTCTCAATTCCAGCAGACTAGATTAAGGCTGTGGGGTTCTCTTTAAGCCCTGAAAATTCTCAGATCAGTGTCATGGGGCCATCATTTATACCTACCCCTTGCCCCATTGAAATACCTACTTTTAACATTCTGTCCTGAGATTCATACAGTGTTCATAGTACCTATGACTGCAGTGGGATGCTCGGAATGGCAAAAGACAGTATTTGCAGCCTCATACGAGACCAAAACCCAGGAGGGAGCTGTCTCTTTGGGTTTCTAGAATCAAAGCAGATCCTTAGGTCTATTAAATCCAGATCCTTTTGCACTTGGCCTGATCTATATTGTAGCGAGGGGACCAGGAGTTCTCCCCAGTTGCTCACCTAATAAAACTTAGTCTAGAAGATGCCGTCACTGCACAGAACTCACCTGCATAGCAGTACAGGGGGAGGGCAGCCAGCATGAGGACCATCACCAGCTTCATGTTGAGGCAGCTGTTGCTGGCTGTTCAGTCGTATATGATGGATCAAAGAACGCGCTCTGGAGGTGAATATCTAGAACTCTTCTATTTATCTCCCAGGCAGTGGCCTTAAACCCTCCCAGGAAAAGGGAATGAATCACCTGATTGAGCCTTGATTGGACCAGGAAATGACAACCAAATTGGGAAGACCTCAGCCAGCTTGTCATCTGTTTGCAGAAACCAGGACATGGTAACTTTGGACCCATGACAATTTTGAGACTGCTACGGACACATGGGTTTACATAAATGGATGTGAGTGTTTTCCAACCTATGAAACATGACACGATGCTGTAAGGTTGTGCTGGAATCAGTGTTTTCTATTCTTATTGTGGTCTTCTGCTCTTTTCTCATCCAACTCTTCTTCATCTTCTTCCACTTTGTCTCCTCCTCCATATTTTTGTATTTATTAATTTATTTTGCTATATGGTGTCTGCGTTTGCTACAGAGAAAGTGAGAGCAAGAGCGAGAGTGAGAGAGAGAGACTCCTCTTGGGATTTTGGGTGTGGATGCACATAAATCCTGAGTGTTTCTTGAAGTCACCAGGTCTGGGACTTCTAAGCATGCTTTCAGCCATGTAAGATCCAACCCTTATCCATTATTCCACCTGCTGGTTGTCTCTTCTTTCTTCTATAAGGTGCAAGCACCTTCATAACATTTATGTCCTCTGTTCTGGTATAATTACATATCCGTCTACTATTTTTAGATAGAATTACATGTGCTGAGGAGGATGCACAAAAAGGAAACTCTTGTACACAAGAGTTTTTATAATTGGTTTTTATAATGGGTTTACATATGTATTAGTAAATCCATGATAAAAAATGAAATATTAGTTCCTAAAAAAAATGGAAAAGATTATCCTTATCATCCAGCAATCCAGCTACCAGGTACATACCCAAAGGAGAGGAAATCAACATAGTTTACAGATGTCTGCACTCCCACGTTTGTTGCAGCTCTATTCCCATTAGAAAAAAAGGAATGGAACAATGTAAGTGTCCCTTGATGAGTGAATGGATTTTTAAAATGTGGTAATTACACACCCTAGAATAAGAGTCACCTATAAACAACATGAAATGTGTCATTTGAGACAATGTACATTAACCTGTAGGAAATCATGCTAAATTAAATAAGCGAGGCTCTGAGAGACAAATGTTACATGTTCTCATTTCTTAGTGAAAGCTATAAGATTTAACAGCATAGAGATGGAGAGTGGAATGGTGGTTACCTGAGGATGGGAAGGTGTTGATGAGTATGGAGAATAGGGATAACTTGGTGAACAGATCTAAAATTTCAGTTACATAAGAGGAATGAGTTCTAGATTACTAAAGCACAATAGAATAACTAATATTAATAACAATGTTATGTTTTCTTCAAAATAGTTCCCAGCAAAAACCAACATGGTCCTGACATGAAGGAAAATGAATGTTGGAGATAATGGACATGTTCCTTGTGCAGATTTGATTACACGTTGTACTCATGTACTTAGAAACCATGCTGTATCCCATAAACATATACAACTATTACATGACGACTGAAAAGTATTTAAAAATAATAAGTACATAAAATATAAGGAAATAAATACCTTGGGTTAGGTATAATATTAGAATCTTCCTCTGGAGGCAGATTTCCCTCACCCATAGATACCTCTTTTTCAGAAATCTTATTTAAATTTGGGGGAGAATATCTAAATAGTAAGAGTTACCTCACTAGGTTAAATAAATTCCTTACAAATGTATGGTATTACTAATCTACAGAGTAATTTTTGTTTAAGTCTTTGTTGACTTTTAAAGGTTCTCCTTCTGCTAATACAAAGATTACTCTGAGTTCAAAGAGTAACTGATCACTTAGACCAGGCAGTGTTGCATGGTGGATGATAATAGGATTTGGGCTCATTAAATTATGAATTTAATCCTGTTTGCAACATCTGATTATGCTGTGTCTTTGGGCATGTTACAATGCTGTTTTCTCTGGGTTTCCTTTTCCTGTTTAGAAAACTGCAAGAGAGAGGAACCAGCAGATGGCATAGTGGTTATGTCAGTGGACTTAGTCAACTACATGCCCTACAGCAAAAATCTCTCTTAAAAAAAAAA